GTGTGCAATTTCTCTCCGATATTCAACTGCCAAGGGTTCTTTTACATGCCCGCCAATGTGTATACGAGTGGACCCTGATTTCGCCTTCCATTCGAGTCGTATAGCCATGGAGCCACGGTGGCTCAGTGAGTAAGACGATGGCTCGTTAACCTGGAGGTCCCGTGTTCGATCCTTGTTTTGGCCGAGAAAGTCCATCGAGATTTACCGGCGTGGTTCTCCCTTGTCAGTGGTGCAGGACAGAGGGCTTGGCAAGGGATAACGTATAGTCGTTCGAGTGGGACGAACAACCGAGGTTCCGTGTACACATTGGCCTGCGCTTGGCAGTTGGAATTCGATATAAGAGTAGGCTGTAGTGCCGCGGTCCCTGGAAAATGTCCCTTACAGCATACTGTATGGCGTAAGCCCGTCAGAGCAGAACAGTAGGAGGGGAAATCCCATTTCATAACAACGTTGATATGACAAGAATACCTATATCCTAAATTACAACTGAAAACATTCAAGTTGGAACCGAGCAATGTGTTATGGGGGACTCAATCTTTAACGCGATACCCGCGGTGTACACGAAACCTCGTTGTTTGGTCCTATTCCCCCTTCCAGCTTACTGACAAGGGAGGAAATCGGGCTGAAATATCCGAGTAACTCAATCCATTAAATAACCGTTGATACAATTAACGACTTTAAAGTTGACACTACCGATCAACAAAACTGAAAACTCTGGGGAAATTAGGCGGACATTCCTTTCGGAATTAATGGCATTACAATAGAGACCGCTGACATTCCATACCGAAATATCATTCCAGTTGCTTTGTCAACCTGAAAAACTTATTAAGAGGACATTCTTAAAACCGTCGGCATTCTATATTGAAATGCCATCCCAACTGACATTGTCATAATGACATTGCAGTGGAAACAGCTGACTTTCTATATAGAAATGACAAACCGACCTTCTGAATTCAGATGACATTCCAGTCTTAAAAAACTGATAGTAAATATTGAAATGTTCTTCGGTGGTTTCAGAAATAGACAACATTCTTCGTCTCGTCTATGATATTTTCAAATATTTTCAATTGGAAACAACACAAAGAATAATATTTTTCCAGATTTACCTTAATGTTGGTTTATTGCATGCTGGATTGTTACAAATCTCAAATCAGGAGTGTTCGAATTTCAAGACCATTAATCTATTCACTGCAACATGTTTGGTGATCTACAAATTTTTAATCAATGAATCCTATTTAGGATATTCATTTTATTTAATTCTTCAGAAGAGCAATGTATGTGCCTTTACAAACGTCGTGATTAAAAAAAATGTTTATTTGAGACTTTAATCTCGATGGAAATTTTAGATTCCGATTTACGTCAATCGAACAAAGCCACGATGCGCTTCTCTTCCGGTTTCCGGTATTTTAAACAACATTAAATACACTTCACATAATAATCTCCAGTATACACCTGGATCTTTAAAAACAAATTTATTCATCAAAAGTAACGTCACTTGGCAGTGTGTCATACAGTACAAATAACAGATGGAAAAACAAAACGTTTTTAAAAATGAAAGTCTGTATGAGGAAGGTGATCACGGACATTGTCATGGCGCCTACTTTAATAATATTGTGTACAAGCCAGTGGCAGCGCGCATCGACTTTTCAGAAAGTGCTGTTAGTAGAGGGGTGGGGGTGGCGAAATACTCGATTTTATCATAGGAAACAAACATAATCAACAGCGATAATTGCATTTTAGCACCCATGAGGAAATGTTTGTTGTGTGTTGGGTGGATGGGATGGGATGGGATGGGGTGGGGTGTTACATAAGTGCAGAGTCCGTCGGATGTGGGGTGTGACAATGCAAGCTGTAGAACAATGTAACTTCACATTGCGGGACGTTCAGAGATTCAGCTCATCCGCCCCTATGATTACTGAAGGTTAAATAGTTATTTTGGCTCCGCGGTCACGATACACAAACTGTAAAGGAAGGCTTATAAATTAAGGAATATTTAGGAAAGGGGTGCACCGAGAAGAAGCTTGTGAGTATTGGTGGGCTCGAGTGGCCCTAAAGAAGTTTAGGGTCCTTTATTTGTAGTCTGGAGACCAATTTTAGTCTTGAATTAACGTCATTTGTCATGAATTGAAAAGATTGTATGTGACAATGAGTAGGGTCGCCTGTCCAACCACCTGGGTTTTCACCGGGTCCTCCCGTTTCCTCCAACTGCTAAAGACCCCTGCGCAAGCGAAGTAATGAAATAAAATTGAACCGTGTTAGTCCCGAAATGACCTAAACACCATTTCTCTCTCTCCTCTACTGGCCTCCTAATAAAAGCGGTATATGTTTTCGCGAATGAATATAGGGTTTTTTAAACTGACGAGCGGGTGGGTGGGACACGGTGGTTGGCATCCATTGGGATGAATCGTATATACAGCAAGTTAGCAACCCTACCCCCATCTACCCACACAAACGTAACATTTATTTATTTTTTTATGTTCACCTCACAAATATTTACTCTAAACTTCCCCCCAAACCTTGCCATTAATAGGACCGCCACTACTTCATGCGTTGATGGCAGTTTCAATATCCAGTGTCGGTAACTGGGACTAGTGCTATTTGTATTACGAAGTTGTTATACTCTTTTTAATTGCTAATATACTTTTTGTAAAAGAATTTGGGAACTTGAAATGTGTTTTAGAAATTCCTTGCGTTTATTAGGCATTTTTGAACTTCTTATTTTAATTCCTTCGGTTTACGTTAATCTCACGTGGGTTACAAGGCGGCATCTTGGTACATTCAAACATGGTCTCGAATAACTTAACTCTGACAACGTGTAATTATCTGCCTGTCTTGAGATCTCGGTTAACCAGTGAGCGAAAAGATGCAGCTGACTTTTTTGCACTCACTGCAAATTCATCATAGCCATGGATAGATTGCGGCAACAGGGGCGGATCCAGGAATTTTTGCAGGAGGGGGTTTGCCAGGTTCCTGTTAAGGAAATCTGTCATCATCGTGTCTAAATTACATAGGCATACATACAAATTGAGCTTTTTAAAGAGAGAAATCATTTTTGTAATGATGTAGGATCACATTGTCATTTAATTTCATTTTATTTTATGTAGCTGAGCAGGGTGGGGTTTGGACCCCCCCCCCCCCCTCTGGATCCGCCTCTGGGAAAAGGTCGCAACTCTGTTACCAAATCTGTACGTTTAAAGACGCAGTATGAAATTGTAGGTCTTTTGTCTGAATTCAAATGTTATATAAATTATTAATTAGGCATTAATCATTCACATGACAAGCCCATAATCAACTCTTTGTATTGTCGGATGGCCGAGATATTGAATGAGTTAGAACATCCTTGCCATATAATAATGTAACATTAAAATGGACAATCAAGACTATGCTTCTTACCGTATCAATGGTACTTTACAATTGAGACTATTTGCGCTAGTCAAAACTTCCGCTCAGAATAAACTAATTGGACTGAAATTTTCGAACTATCATAGCAAGAACGACCAGAATTTTACCTAGATCTTACATAATGAATCTTTATAAGATCAACATTAGACTAAAGCAAATATAAAATATGAGCGTCAGTGTTGTAACATTACCCTGGTCAAGACCGTCAAAAAGAACAATGTGACACTGTCGCGTGTCACTGTATCCAAGCAGGACTTTCACGCCGTGTACTTTTTTACTCAATAGATCAATTAACCCCGGAACACTTTGTATCTTTATAACAACCATAATACCGAAAACTACACACACGGCTATGACATTAATATAAGCTAATGATGATCTCGCCCGTCCTCTGAGCTGAAGCGGCTAAAGGTATGTTTCTAAAAGCCCTACAGGATATTTTAACCCAGCCCCGAACCAGAGGCTTATGTACATCCACCTAAGAATCCCGCGTGATGTATGTATCCCGGCCTCTCAGCCGAGGAAGCTCTGGGGACTCAGGCCACAGCTAGCGGGGGTGGGGTGGGGGGCAAGGGGGACTGTATGTACATCCTCCTAACGCAACATACCTAATTAGCTTACATCTACCCGTCACCCATTTGTTTAACTACTCCTATATATTAAACAGAGCACCTGTTATAGAACTAAAATACCCCCCTTAGACATATAGTATGACAACGGGAACTGTAATATCTGTAATTACATTGCATTCAGATTACATAGCACTAAGGGTAATAAAGAAAAGACATTTTGAAACCCAGTCACAAATGAAACAACAGTTGGCCGAACTGGCTATGTGCCATGTTTTCCACAGGACATAATTCTTTACTTGATAAAGACTGGAAAAGCCTATTCGAAACTTCACTCAGCAGAAAACAGTCATTTGTATTCCATGGAATTATGTGTTCAATTACTAAAATTCACAGAAAGAGTTTATCAGTGCGTAGTTGTTTTATAATGTGCATCTGTCCTAAATGTCGTTTTGAACCATTTCATATTGTTCAAAGGCTTGTTATCCCTTGCAGTCTGGCTATACATGCACATGTTAATCGGTATAACAGATTCATTTGGTCAGAGCCGATTGAAAAAAAATTTTAAAATAAAATTCATCTTTGCATCCACGCAAAAATGATCTATAAGGCGACATCAAGCTAGTTTCGTTTTCTCGTCGTGTCACCGATTCGTCACCGCGATGGGGACCAACGAACTCAGTCCGTTTTCTCGTCATGTCACGCATTTTTCACCATAATTGGCGACCAGCGAAACCAGTTGGTCCGAGGGCCGAGAGGAACCAAGCCTACCCCTGCATTTGGGCCAACCTAATGTTTCCGTTTTATCAAACACACCATTTAATGCCATAGATGTAGCGCTGAATTCATTCGAAAGACTTTTACGTCTATTCAACCACTGCCTAGTCTAGTATGAAAGGGCGCAGAATACTGAAGACGTGGTTTTGTTTACTTTGGATTCATCTTCAACATCTGAAGCGTCTATTACTTCAGAAATCAATAATTAAAACAATCAAAGTAATTAATTAGATGTTGATTTGTTTTTTACAGATAAGTGTGGTGTTATGCCAACCCCGTTAATTATTGGAGGTAAGCCATCTTCTCCTGGTCGCTGGCCCTGGCAGGTGTCCCTACAAATCATTGCAGCTATTGAACCTTGGCACCGATGTGGAGGAGTTCTAATCCATCCTAACTGGGTATTAACAGCGGCTCATTGTGTTGAGGGGTAAGTAAATGGGTTGAACAATTACTATAATAGCAATTACATGTCATGTAACAATTTCTATTTGAAATCTTATAATAGCCTTCCATGTAACATGTTCAAGTTGAATTCTTATAAGAATATTTATTATATTTGAATTCTTATAAGAATATTATATTTGAATTCTTATAAGAATATTATATTTAATCTATCATATTATATTTGAATGTTTAAAAGAGCATTCCGTGCAACATATTCTATTTGAATTCATAAAAGATCATTTAATAAGAAAAACTAATCTATCATATTAAATTTGAATTCTTATAAGCAAATGTAATCTAACATATTCTATTTGAATTCTTAAAAGCACATTGAATCTATTAATTCTATGTATTTAAATTCTTATTAGCACATTTACTGTTCATTTCCTGTCCAGACAGATTTCAATGGATAAAATTATACGCAATAAATCCTACATCATTTTCATTTGCATGCATGTTTCAGACCATTCTATGGCGATTTAAGGAATTGGCGAATTGTACTGTCGGAAGATAATTTAAACGAAGGATCTGGTCGAGAAGTTTATAGAAGAATATCGAGAATAGTTGCGGTATGCTGAATTAATATTGATCGTATTGGATGGGGATTTAGATCCATATTATTTGATTGATTGGGACAGTCACTGCTTGCTTGCACTGGTTGTGGTACTGGCCAATTTTGATGGGGGCACAAATTTAAATGAAATGAAATGAAATGGGGTTTAACGTCCTACTGTTCTGCTCCTATACTGGGCTAATGAAGACGGGCATACGCCATACAGTGTGCTATGAGGGAATTTTTGGCCGGGCAGCGGCATTATCGCCTACTCTAATATCGAATTCCGACTGCCAGGGGATCTTGTACGTGCATTCCAATATATACACGGGACCTCGGTTTTTCGTATGTAGTCCTTGTCAGGACCTCTGTCTTACATCACTGACAAGGGGAAACCACGCCGAAAAATCGGAATGAACTTTCTCGGCCAATGCAGGGATCGAACTCCCGACTTCCAGGCTAGAGAGCCAGCGTCTTACCCACTTAGCCACGTGACCCCCCCCCCCCCCACACACACACACACACAAATTTAAAGCCTTCTGAGATGACAAATAGAGTGCGCAAAAAAATCGGTTATGACACAAAGTATTGTACCGTTTAGAAATTGACAGTGTACACATGAAGAGATCTTGACGACCGACTGAATTCAAAACCGATGGTCCTCTGTGAGCATTCTCATCTCTAGGTTGCAATTTTGATTTGTCCACAAGCCACGATTAAGCCTGGTTTGGGGGGGTTGTTTGCACTCCAATAGTTTAAATTTATTCAACCTGATCTAATATTTTCATATTTGTCTGTATTACAGCATCCAGGCTATATAAGAACTAGTAACTTTCCCAATGACGTGGCACTACTACAAATGGATGAAGCAGTAGACACAAGTACCGGGGAATCGAGAGTAGCCTGTTTACCTGACTTACATGCTGAAATACCACCTAATGCCAACTGTTGGTTGAGTGGATGGGGAGAAACCAGGGGTATGTTGGACCACAGCTTCTCTTATACCGATACCACGCTTCCTTGCTAATTTGACCGATGGCCAGGTCAGAAGTAGCCACGCATATGATGAATAAAGGGGGATAATCATAACCTGGCCCATGATGTCACGACAATAAAACTATATCTTGCTTGTTTTCTAACCTCTTCCACCTTCAATACTTCATCTTAATTAAATTCAAAACTGAAATGAATTTAAACTATATTGGGCAAGAACTCGGGATACTCGATTGAACGTTCCGTAATTGAATTCAGAAATTAGTGACCATCGAGTGAAAGGGGGATTTCGGACTACAACGCGGTGCCCCGGTCTGACAATCGAGCGTCCCCTATTTTTAGGTAACCAATTAAATGGTGGTTATTGAAGTCTGAATACAATTCAGTTATAACTTTATTAATTAAACCTATAGGCACAGGAGGTAATGAAAATTCCATGAACGAACTGCAAGTGGAAATTTTACCAAACTGGCTGTGTTCGTCCATGTGGAGGCGAGTTGGTATCCATGTACTGGATGACCAAGTATGTGTAGGATATGGTGATACTGGTGCCTGTTACGTAAGTAGAACTCAAACGTATATACCCAACAAGGGGAAACAACTCTATTACTTGATTAACATAACAAACGAAGGTGCTGGGTAAACTATTAATATTTTAACATCTTTTCATTTGAATACACACTAATATATTCTAATATTATATTCTGGTTACTGTCTCGTCTCAATTTTATCAAGGCGTTAGCGTTAAGATTTATAATGTCTTAACAAATTTGCTTACAGCAGCAAAAGTCTGTTGAAAAACTGCTGCTTTCATTTTACAAGATATTAATACTAACTTTATTTTAATTATTATTTTAAATTTGTATTTTACTAATGCTTAAAATGTTGAAAACTGGTTTGGACACAAATGATATGTAATATTTATAAAAATCAAAACCCCGACAAAGACGATAGACGTAGTTTTAATTTCATAATCTGTAAAATAAGGGCATCATTTTTTAGCAGTCTTTTGTCATTAATACCATGTCTTTCTTTTGCTTGTTAAAGTTACTTGGAATGTTCTTCTATTTAATCTGAATTTGTTTCAGTTTATGCATGCATGTTATGTGTACGAGCATGTCTGGGCTTGATATGTGTTAAACTCCTGGGTGGTCGTACCAGTATTCTCTGCGCGTCAAGCCATTTTGTTTTCACATTGGCTTTTATTATAACATGTTCTGCTTCGAAAGCACTTTCCATTTCAGCGCAAATAGACCAACAGGTGTTGAGATTTATGGCGCTGAACTTCGATGTGTCTGGCAATTTCAATTTGAGATGGTAGTTTAATTGATCATCGGAAGTCTTAAGCGAATGGATAGTGAAAATTGGTCAACTGTTAAGATTTAGGGTGCGGAACTGCGTCTTCGGTGTCTTGTTATATAAATTTGAGATGGTAGTTTTTTTGATCATCAGAAGTCTAAGCGAATGGATACTACAAATTGGTCAACTATTAAGATTTAGGGCGTGGAACTGCGTCTTCGGTGTCTTGTAATTTCAATTTGAGATAGTAGTTTATTTGATCATCTGAAATCTAAGCGAATGGATACTACAAATTGGTCAACTATGAAGATTGAGGGCGCGGAATTGCGTCTTCGGTGTCTTGTAATTTCAATTTGAGATTGTAGTTCATTTGATCATTGGAAGTTTAAGCGCATGGATATTGCATTATTGAATAAGTAATGAGTTCTGCTTTGGGGGCACTTTCCCGGTCATATTTCATTTTTGGATACGAACGCGCTGTGGATAGTTTCAAATGAATTTTATAACGGTAAGATATTAACTCCCTTGTTCCTCTTTACTCGAATTGATCAGCGACATCAGCTTTATAGATATTTCATAAGATTTAACAGGATTTTGAATCCTTGATTGTCACATGGTGTGTTATGAGTTTTAGAAAGATCGATATACGTGGTGGTTGATATTTTACAGTTTGGTAGTTTTTTGGTCTGAAAACGTTGTTTTATAAAAAGGTGTTCAGTTCGCTTCTTCTGCTCGAGATAATCCATGACGAAGCAGAATAAAAGATAGATTTTTGCCCAGCTGAAGATTTAGTGTGGCAAACACAAAAGTATTTCAATTATTTGCCAAAATCATAAGCCTTTAATCATATTGACGAAGGGTTCATTTGGTCAGTATCAGACCGTGGTTATGGATTCTCCAGCATAGGCGCCGTCTTAAGGTGGCATTAACCATATCAGACCATGGCGATGTCTAGAAAGCTGGTAGTATCCATATAAACAATGAGATCAGATTGTCAGTACCAGAACCCTAGCTATGGAATACCTGATTGTAAAGCTGTTTATTCTAAGAACAGGTCTGGATACAGATGGAAGATGACATGATAAAAATGAACTACCCAAAATGAAGCAACACTATTACATTGTAAATACAATAGCTGAAATCTGATCTTTGTTTATTGTTATATACATACAGTGAGATAATCAGACCTACACGCGATATTTTTCTGTATACACACAAAAGATGGATTCGTTCATAATTTATATTATAATTGGTAAGTATTTATCGATGACCCTCCTTAATTTCTTTTATAACATCTAACATTAACTCTTTGAGTTAGAATTTACCCTAATTTTTAAAAACAAATGGTGTGTAACGTGTGCATTTGAAGATTGTGCATGTTTATTTAAACTTTGCATTGGTTCCGTAGTTTATTGGGAACAATTATATGTAGATATGTATGGATACCCTTTGGATAAATGATTTTCATACTGTTTACATGATGATCATTTTGTGGACTGTAAGCACGGCATGCTGGTATTGACAATTATAGTAGGCTTCTTAATAGCTTTTAAAAATTATATTCATTTATAAAACCTATAGCCGTACTAATAGCGTTTAACATAAAAGCAGAATAATATATATATCTTCTAATATCTAACAGATTAACCCTATTATTTAACATTATTCAACGGTTTAATTTTTAACATTTACATTGATTTAGGTTACCTGGCTACATTAATTATACCTTAAAGCCACTGATCGTCAATTAAGGACAATATCTAATTCAAATTGATTATTTGGCATTTAAGTTAAGAAAACTAAATCAAAATATTAACTGTAGACAATATCCCTGCTAGGAAACAATCGGATTAAAAAGAGCTCCATCAAATGGTTTTAGCAATTATAGTTTAGATGATATTCTGTTTTAATCGCCAGCAGAATATGTCGAATGTTGGCAGATTTTTAGTTCGTCTCATATCTTTGTAAATAATTAAAGGAATTGAACCCTATTTGTACGGATATTTAGTTTAGAGATTTAACATTGATAAAATATTAAGATTCCTGCAAATGATGATCAGAGACTTTAAGTATAATGTTTCTTCAGATTAACCGTTTCTACAGTTTTTCTCTGTAGTCTTGTGGGGTAACTCATTGCTCAATGAATTACTGTTGGATATCAATTCAAGTCTGATCCTAATCTTTAACAAATCCCAACTTACAGTATAAAATATAGAAGCTTAAAAGTCGAAATATAATCTTTTTCAATTTTGAATTGATTTTTCCAAATAGCCCAGTTATAATTTTTACTCGTGAATTTAAAAGTTTTATGCCGTTTTCGTCTCATACAGTAAAAAAATTAGGCTCGATTCTAAGACGTTCTTTTTTCTACTTTTTCAGGGAGATTCCGGTGGCCCATTGATGTGTGAGCTAGATGGAAGATACTATGTCACTGGAGTCATGTCATGGCTAATTAATAATTGTTCCGCCCGAGGCTTCCCGAACGTCTTCACCAGAGTAACCAGTTACACTGATTGGATATACGAAAAATTAGAATACTATGATTGGTGGCATTAAACCCACAGCTAACCAATCATAGGCAGCGAAATAGCATAATAAAGTCTGTTATAAAAGGAGATTAGACAATGCTGTTCAAAATGGTGGCGTTGCGTCCTACTCCGATGAGCATAATATTAAAGCCAACTGTGATTTAGGTGCATATATTCACAAAGATTAAAAATAGTTTAATAAGTGTATAATAAGGTGGGGAGGATTTGTATATAAATAAATAAACGTTATAGGTATACGGATATTAGTACCAATATCAAATAATCTTACTTATTTTAGGGGAAAAGTTATGAAATAATCCGAGTTGGCAAATCTAGAATAAAATTTTGGCACTTTGATGGAATTACGATATTTAGATTGTAGGTATACAAATATAAGTACGGAAATAAAATCATCTTTCTAATTTTTTGGAAAAAGAAATTCTCAAATAATTGAGTTGATAAGAACTAAATTTCGGCACTTTATTGTAATTGTGATGTTTTTTTGAAACCTTCTTAGAACATTTAACAGTATTAAGTATCAACAGACAACTATACAAAGCATTTAATCGAATTTGGTTTAATCTTGATAAAATTGCCAAAAATAAAAATGGTTGATTTATTTTGAATAATGAAAAGTGAGCAACATGCCAACCATTCCTGCCAAGAAGTATATATATATATTTTATTTTATGTGTGTATATATATAAGTCTTTATTGAGAAAGAGGTAAGCAATACTCTAGAATAAGACAAGAGGTGACGAATTACTACCACGTGTCTAGATTTATATCGTCGATGTTACAAGTAATGTCGTAAGTAACCGGAATGAATTTTCTTGATTGAGTTTACAAATATTTGAAAGCATTTGATACTTTGACAAACTTTGGGGTAAGAGTTGGAAGGTAAAAAAAATACGACGCTTTTCCTTTGGGGGAAAAGTTTGCATCATGGGTTCTAGAAAGTGACTGAATCTGAGGTTGCATCTGGATTTAACAAAGGAAGCCGATTACAATGAATTTCTTGAGGTAGAGTGGAATATTATGTACTATGTGATTTTGTATTATGAATTATCATAAAATGATGTGCATATTTGATATGAGATAAATGAAAGGAGTTATCGACAATCCATGCGTTAACAGAGAATTACTAAACCATAATCTTTTTATCATATTATATTATGTTCAAAAGTCGAAAAATCATTTAATTTTCATTATAACGTAAATTATAAAAATGCTCATATCAGTAAATTTTCAAAATTTGTTAAAATGAAGCACAATCTGTAACTTTTGAAACGTGATAGGTGCATTTGTAAGTCCGAAGGACTTGAGATTAAAAACTAAATTTACAAACACCTGTGTCTTGCAATAAATGTACATAATTGAAGTGTACATCACAGAAGTGTTCAAATGGTGATCATTCAAGTTTTAAAAAAAAACAAGCATATGTTGCAAAGGATTGACGATAACTATCTGCATCAACCTAGGCTTGCCAGATCAAATTTAGCCTCTCTTATATTATTGAATGAAGACCTAAGTGTATATGTAAGATCTTTTCTATGGCAAAACTCGACATCAACGACCATTTAGTAAAGTTTACCATTCAATTTCCTCTTTAAATAATCGTCAAGACTATTTTGCAAAATATTTTTGTAGCGTTATAAAACTTATTGTAATAATAAGAATACTGCTTTTTCATTTCAAGTGTAATTCAGACTTACTAAATGGTTTTTGATTAATTCATTATAATATGGCTCAATGTTCATGGTGTCTTGTCATGATGAACTTGCAGCATATTTTAATGGCATGTTATAATGGTACAAATTTTTAGTACTGTTTACTCTATGCAATTTCGAATTAATATGAATGATTGCTAGAATATTTGACCCAAAAAATATAATTTTCTATTTTGAATGTCAATCTAAGCTGAATCAAAGTATTGTTTTTTCTGAATTGTGTTCCATAAACACAGTATTCAGATTGCTAAAACGTACGCCTTAAATATTGGCAATGTTGTGTATTTTGTCAGGAAAGATACAACACTGAAATCATCAATACACTTTGATTCAGTTCGATTATTCAAAATTAATTTTTTAAATATATCGACGCTGAGAAAACTTGCCTGTAGCATGTTTAAAAGGGAAATAAGGTTTGTTTCTGGAATGCATTCCAGCATGTTTGTAAATAGTGTTTATAAAGTATGATATTTTTTATATTTGTGTATTTATTTTGTGATACAAGCTTTGTTTGTACTTGCTCCAATAAATAAAACATATAAATAAAACAAAATATTTCATTTTTTTTTCCTTCTTTTTCTTATCGTTTCCAAATAATGTTTGCATGGAATCCGTAGGTCCATTGTGTTACCAGACTTTACGCCAACATGAAAGGACTCTCCCTTCAACACAGAATCTTTTCCTTTGCATCCTTTTGAACAGGTCAGTTTTTAAATTCCGTTTCTTGCATATCAGCAAATCCATTGCAGAGCTCGTAAGTCTTGTTTCTTTACGAAATGGCTTAATGCATGCGCACCGTGTAACTCAAAAAGGCAGTTCATTAAGGAATATTGAGGACTTGACGATTCCCGGATTTTCCCTAAGAAGAATGGACCAGCGAGGAAAGATTGGTGGTATCGCATGAAATCTTCTGATTCTAATAAAGTACAATCACGCATGTCTCCCCGAGAAAGACACCAGTAGACGAATTTAGAACGAACTGGATAATAGAGAGCAGGTACAGATCAGGGCTCGTTTAAATCATAGTTTACCTTTAAATCATAGTGTATTTCAACTGGATTGTTTTCTCTGTATGTGGTAACCACGACAACATCAACAACTGTTTTATATTTCATTTGTGTAACTTTTTTTTGTCCCTTACAGTTTTTGTGTAGTATAGAATATCATATGCGGATATTTTATTGTTTTTGGTTTCGTCTTCTTTGTTGAAGGAAAATTGTTACTCCCACGTTCTTCGTGTGTTCTTAGATGTCAAGGTCATTGAACGACACGTTTAAAGGTATTGTCTTGGATTATTCCTCTCTTCATTTAAATGTTCTGTGAAGGTTATTTGAAGGCAATTGTACAGTCCGAAGTGAAGGACTCGAAAGGTTGGTTTTATTAGGTATGTTAGATATTGTTCAACAATAAATAAAAGTAAAAAAGATAGTATAAAAAAAAGATAGTATAATATATCTAAATATGGGCAAAGAGATGTGCCATTTGCAGATATCTGATTGGATGCGCTGCGATGCGATGCGTAATGATTACATAAGGAATGATTACGTAGCACATAACTAAGTAGCATGATGGAGAAAGATAAGTGAGCACACTGGCTATTAATAAATTCCCATGGCATAACCAATCAAAGGTTTCTGCACAAATAACATAACAATAATTTGAAAACTAGTAAATGCATGCTAACTTTGAACGGTAGTAAAAAATGGCGGGACAGGTTGGAGCTTGATGCTGAAATCAGGTGAGCATTTAGTCCACTAACAAAATGGTTTGTTTGATGTTTGTTTTGTTTTTGTCTTCTGTGTCAACAATTCTAAGTAAAAATAGGTTTTAAACAAGCATTTGGAGGAGAACTGTAAATGTATCTGTATGAACTGGAGAAGAGACGATCGTGTTCTAGCAGATAAATATGTAATGTATATTTGATATTAAGGATTAAAGGTAAGTTCCTTACAGTATTTTCTCCTTTTTTTCGTTTAACACATCGCTGGATATATATTTACAACAAAAAAAAATGTGTATTTTGCATTATTAATTTTGGATAAATATTACTTTCATTTGTATATTGTAATTGTTCTTTGATCTCATTAGGTGAGTCATCCAGGGAGTGAGTGGTCGAATGGTTAACGCGTGTGCGTTGTATCATAAGGTCTGTCCTTGAGTCGAGTGGCGTGGATTCGATTCTCCGGTTGTACGTGACAAGGAGTAGGATCGCCGGTGTCCTCCCACTGCTAAAGACCCATAGTCCTATTTTAGTCCCGAAATGACATAGTAAGTGTTAAGTGGAAGTTAACCCCCCCCCCCCTCTCTCTTTCTCTCTCTCTCTTGAATCCTATAAAACTTTAGTGGTGATTTTCCGCCATGTTACAGGTTGGTAGTCTGCAGTAATGAACTGGTATGACATTGAAGACAGCCACAGCAAAGTACTATTCCACGTACCTGTTCTCTGATGGTGAAGCTTAAATCGCGAGGATTTCCATGAGTGTGGACTAGCTTAGAAGGAGAGCGAACATTTAAATAGGTTAAGTGTTTGATCAATCAAAATTTAAAAACCTGTGACCTCTTTTGGCAGATCTGAATGCGAGTCTAGTTTGCATCGAATGTACATCCAAAGTGTTTTTCCAGATTGCAGTAAAACCTAAACAATTTGCTACATCTGGTTTTGATTGAGCTACAGTCGTGCCAACATCTATCATGAAAGTAAATAGTATTAATCGTCTTACTATGTTAATTATAGATGAGCCCTTTTGTTTGTCGGTATCTACAACGACTGAGTTTGCCTTTAATCATCTTTTGGGTGGGTCAGCGGATGGTCGGTTTGTTAGCGTGCGTTGTATCATAAGGTCTGTCATTGAGTCAACTGGCGTGGTTTCGTTTCCCCGGTTGTACGTAACAAAGAGTAGAGTCATCAGTCCATTCTCGTGGGTTTTCTCTGGGTCCTACCATTGCTACGCGCAAGTGAATTATTGAAATACAATTGAACCATACATTAGTCCCGAAATGACCTAGTTTCTGTCGAGTGGAGTTAAATCCCCACCTCTCTCTCTCTCTCACTATAATTATCTTAGAATCTCAGTTATTCTTTGATTGATAAAGACGAGAGAACCTTCGTCGTCGAAGCGTCGCAAAATAAATCTTTAAAGTGACTTGTATTTCATGTAATTATCATGTGTTATAATACATGCCCGGGCAATATATCCCTCAAGGTCTTTATATGTTTCGTCCCGAAATGACCTAGTTTGTGTCGAGTGGACGTTAAACCCCATTTCTCTCTCTCTAGTTATATGAATTAGACACAAACCTATACATGTTGGCCGAGCAATGTCCTTACAGGGAAAGGCATCTAATTGAGACACCATGGAGACCAGTTAGCGGGCAAAATGTCCCTCATAACACGCTGCATTTCATTATAGATGCTTTATCATACGTTTCCAAATTTTCAGGTATGCAACTCTGATAGATGTCTTGGAACAAACGGTAGTCCAGATCAGCGCACCCCATCAGTCAAGCCGAAAATTTATTCTAGAACTACGTAATACGCATAGACCTCGACAGGCAATTGGAGACATCCTAAAGTTAGGTATATAATTAGCCGTATACTGTGGAATTCCACAGGTGCAATTCAAATTGTCAGTAGAACAGTGATTATATTCCCCATGCTATTGTGCTTAAACTAATTTATAGTTTATTTTACATTGTTTATACCCCCTATCTCGTTCACAGTATTGCCCTTAAACAGTGTTTATACTCGTATCACATTCACAGTATTGCCCTCTATCTTGTTCACAGTATTGCCCTTAAACATTGTTTATACTCGTATCACATTCACAGTATTGTCCTTAAACTAATTTGTAGTTAATATTGCTTGGTTTTTCTCTCTGTATCGTTCACAGTATTGTCCTTAAACTAATGGGTGAGGGATGGCCGAATAGTTAGCACGTGTGCACTGTATCATAAGGTCTGTCATAGAGTTATCTGGCGTGGTTTCGTTTGTACGTGACAGGAAGAGGGGTGGCCTGTCCAACCTAGTGAGTTTTCTCCAGTTTCCTGTCACTGCTAAAGACCCCTACGCGCAAGCGAATTATTGAAAAAAATTGAACCATGTGTTAGTCCCGAAATGACCTAGTTTGTGTCGAGTGTACGTTAAACCCCATTTCTTTCCCTCTCTCTCCATTAACTAATTGGCACTCAATAACTTCTGGTCAATGCTATAGTATTATGTCACTTATGTCGGTTATGACTAAAAGATGTGGTCACAAAGGTCAACTAGGGGTCAAGTAGGTCAGGAAATGTTGTAAAACATGTTTGAGTGAGGTCGAAAATGGTCACCGAGGTGAAATAGGGGTCAAGTAAGGAAACGTTCCATCAATGACATCATAAAAGTAAAAAAAAGGTCAATTTGGCCAACTAGTGGCCAATCGGATAAAGTTTCAAAACAATAGGTCAGTGAGGTCAAAAAGGTCACCAATTCCTGAAGGTTAAAAAGCGGTCAATCGGGTCAACTAGGCCAAGTTAGGAAATATTCCAAAAATAGGTCATTGAGTTCACAAAGGGTCACTATAGTCAAAAAGGGGTCAAGTAAGGAAATGTTGCATAAATGAAATCCTGAAAGTAAAAGCGGTAATTGGTCAACTAGAGTTTAATATGGGTCAAGTTAGAAAATGTTGCAAAAAATGTTTTTGTGATGTTCGAAAAGGTCACAAAGGTCAAATCCTGAAACTAACTAAGGTCATCAAGAGTTCAGTGGAGGTTAACTGGGGTCAATTTAGGAAAAGTTACAAAAAATGATTCAATGATGTCATAAAAAGGATCACCAAAGTTAAATAGAGGACAATAAGGAACTAAAATCCAATCAGTCGTAAAGGGCCACCTTGGTCAATCGGGTCAACTAGGGGTCTACTATATAGGATATTTAGGAAATGTCCCCAAGGTACGACTTCGTTAAACAAATGTATACTGCTATACTTTATTATTATACTGTCAATATTCCATTATTAGTCCATATTCCATTATTATACTGCAATATTCCATTATTAGTCAATATTTCATTATTAAACTGTCAATATTTTATTATTATACTGTCAATATTCCATGTTTATACTGTCAATATTCCATTATTAGTCAGTATTCCATTATTATACTGTCAATATTTCATTATTGTACTGTCGCATTTTCATTATTATATTGTCAATATTTCATTATTATATTGTCAATATTTCATTATTTTACCGTCAATATTCTATTATCATTGTTTCATTTTCATACTATAAATATTTATTTTATTTATATACTGGCAATATTCCATTTTTATACCTTCAATAATAATTTTATTTTTATACTGACAATATTCTATAGATATTTATTTTATTTATATACTGGCAATATTCCATTTTTATAACTTCAATAATAATTTTTTTTTATACTGACAATATTCTACTTTTATGCTATCATTTTTATACTGTCATATTTGTTTTTTCATTTTTTATTTTTATACTGTCATTTTTTTCATTTTATATAAGCAATATTTCATTTTCATACCATCATATTTCATTTTGCTGTACATATACTATCAATTAAATATACTTCGCATTCAGTTATCGTCTTGGACAAATTTATACTTTAATATTACATTGATAATTCTATCAATACCATAAATATCAAATGTGAATAATAATATATGATTAAGCATGATGTCCAGCAGCTCAAATAAGTGCATTGCCTATTGATTCATTTAGAAGATACAAAAATACAAAATAAATTTGTTAGCTGTTTGAATTCCCAAATGAGCAATGGAATCGGGAAGTATTCGATATGCGTTTCTAGCTGTAGCAAGTTCGATTTTTGTATAATATTTATCGGCGTGGGGAACCACGGTGGATAAGTGGGTAAGACGCTTGTTCGCTGGGCTGGGGGTCGTGCATTGACCGAGAAAGTTCATAGGGATTTTCCGACGTAGTTTCCCCTATTAGTCGTTCGGATGAGATGAAAACCCGAGGTCCCGTGTATACATTGAATTGCACGTAAAAGATCTCTTGGCAGTTGGAATTCTATATAAGAGTAGACTATATTGTCGCTGCCCTTGCAAAATGTCCCTCATATAGCACACTGCATGGCGTATGCCCGTCTTCATTAGCCCAGCCGAAGCAGAACAGTAGGACGTTAAACCCCATTTAATTTCATTTTATTAGCGTAGATTCGTGACACTAAACCGTATTTCATGTACAGGGATTGGACAGTATTGTCATTTACTTTATGGAATGGAATCATTTGTCAGTGGTGCAGGGCAGATGCCCTGGCAAGGACCAGTGCCTAGTCGTTTCATTGTGAGGGACGAAAAACCAAGGCCCCGTGTTCACATTGGCGTGTACTTAAAGTAACACTTGACAGTTGGAATTTAATATAAGAGTAGGTAGTAGCGATCGAATTCTCATTTTCCTCATAGCATACGGCATGGCGTATGTCCATTTTCATTAGCCGTTTTCATTCATCCGAGAACCCATTTCCTTATACCCCCGCTCTCCCTAAACTGTTCTGCAAAATATGGAACAAACACAGATTATGTCTAGAGTACGAGACACAGAGTACGAGTAGGCCATATGGGTGTTGTCCGATCAAAATTTCCGTCATAGCGCACTGCATGACGTATACTCGTTAGTGAGGGAAAGTAGGACGTGAAACCCAATTGCACCATAATATCCACCACTGTGGCAATGAATTAAAGGTAAAAATTCAGCCATGAATTCAATCTGATTAAGCTACAGATCTATATTTCGTTTCGCTTTTTATACTTTCGATGGCCTCCACTATATAACAACTCTTCCAGATCCTAGTGTAGTAAAGAAAAGTAAAACGAAATTTTGAACTATAAAAAAACGAAACGAAATAGGATCTGTGTTTTAATCAGATTGCCATGAATTCTTATTATTCTAAGGAAACACAAAAAGTGCAATCAGTAGCCTATTTGTATCAGACATAAAATTCATATTATAAAAACATTCAGTTCATATTGATTTGTTCATGTTTATCTCGATCTATCCCAATTGATATTTCAAATCTAAGTATGTATCTAAATTCGTATTTAAAAAAAATCTCAGTTCATATTGATTCGTATATCTCGATCCCGATAAATATTTCATATCTAAGTATGTATGGTTGTATTTAATGTCCATAATGCCTGTCAATCATTTCGATTCCCCAGTTGTACGTGACAATTTTCCGGCGTGGTTTTCCCTTGTTAGTGATGCAAGACGGAGGGTCTGACAAGGACAGCTGTCTAGTCGTTCGGATGGGACGAAAAACCGAGGTCCCGTGTACACATTGGCGTGCACGTAAAAGATCCCTTGGCAGTTGGAATTCGATATAAGAGGAGGCCGTAGCGCCGCTGCCCGGGAAAAATTTCCCTCATAGCACACTGTATGGCGTATGTCATGTCTTCATTAGCCAAGGTTAGGAGCAGAACAGTAGGACGTTAAACCCCATTTCATTTCATTTCATTTTTATACGTGACAAGGAGTGGTGTCGCCTGTCCAGCCTTGTGGGTTTTCTCCGGGTCCTCCGGTTTCCTCCCACTGCTGAAGAACCCTGTGGGTTTATAAATGTTTATCTCTAAATGCAAATGTGAGACCACATTTTTCAGCGAAATAACATCATAATATTTGCTGCACTGAATAACGATTGCCGTTTCAAATTGGCTAGGTCTCGAGTCCCCGCTTGTACGTAACAAGGTGTGGTGTTGCCTTCCTACCCCGTGGGTTTTCTCCAGATCCTCCGGTTTCGTCCCACAGCTATAGAACCACACGCGCACACGAACTATTGAAATAAAATCGAATCATATGTTAGTTCCGAAATGACATAGTATTTGTCGAGTGGACGTTAATCATCTCTCTCTCTCTGTAAGATATATTATTAGTGCAATAATTATTTTACGTCGAACTTGTCATTGAGTCAACTGGCGTGGTTTCGATTCCTCGGTTGTACGTGACAAGCAGTAGGTCGCCTGTCTAACCTCGTATGTTTCTCCGGGTTCTCCAGTTTCCTGCCACTGCTAAAGACCTCCCGCGCAAGCGAATTATTGAAATATAATTGAACCATATGTTAGTCCCGAAATGTCCTAGTTTGTGTCGAGTTGACGTTAACTCGGTTAACCCCATTTCTCTCTCTCTATCTCTTTTTACGTCGAACTGGGTTTATTAAGAATACACATCACTATACAATAAATGCATTGAAATACAATAATATCAAAACATAAAATACAAATTATCTATTAATCAATAAATTAAAGTGACATTATGTAAGATTTAGATAAAGAGCTGTTATATTTCAAAAATAGATATTGCAAGATGAACATATTGAAAATTGCATTCAAATTACTTTATTTTCAGCAAAGTCATAAATGGTTGTAGTTTTGACAAGCTGTGTGCCTTGATCGCAACTACCACACTGGTCATTCTAGTTCTAGCTTCACTTCCCCATTGTTAAATTAAATCATTAAATGGCCGAACCATTCTAATGTACTTAAAATCGTAGCCATCCGATGGTATCGAGAATTGATTATGGTCTTGTCATGTCAGTAAATGTCTAATTAATAATTCATAACATTTAAGGTCCAAAGAAAGACCCGCAATAGTCATATTTAGCTCTTACATAATGCCCGTTTAATACAAAGATATAGAATATGTTACGTGAATAAGTGTAATTTTTTACAATATAATATTATGCTAATCTATTTTACTATTCTACTCCGACTGGTCTAATGAAGATATGCATACGCCATTCCGTGAGCTATGAGGGGAATTTTGCCCGGGCAGCGGCTCTATGGTCTACTCTCATATCGAATTTTAACTGCCAAGGGCTCTTTAACATGCAATCCAATGTATACACGGGAACGACTAGACAACTGTCGTTGTCAGGCCCCCGTCCTGCACCACTACCAAGGGGAAATCACGTCGGAAAATCCCAAATCTGGTTAGCTAGCCAGCGTCTTACCCACTTAGTCACCGTGGCTGCCATGCATAAATGAAACACACATAAATCAATAAATGAATATAAAGTATTAGAATATGTTATGTGAACAGGTGCAATCATAATCAATTTCACATTATAATATTATGCATAAACGAAACACATATTTATCCATAAATGCATATAAACTATTGGCTTATCTTAACGGCTCAATACCACTCTTGTTGTAACTGAATAATATGTCCCAATCTTTATTCTGGTCAACAAATTGTACTATTTTACAATATTCCAATTAATTGACGATACAAATTTCATCTTCACACACCTAATTTAAAAAATTGGAAAAATTCAACTAAATGATTTGAAAAGCCTGACGTAAAGCTTTTCAAATGTGACTTCGATTTAAAAATATTTTTGAACCCTTTGGACAAGTAAAATAGGATTTAATGGATAATTTACACAACAGGTAGGACACTAACACATCTAGTACTAAAAAGATGTACCCAATCGAAATTAGTGCCAAAATATGCAGGGTATTACGTGAAGGCCTTGATAAGATGTACGTAGTCAAAGCGAGATTAAGCCTTCTATTGAAGATGACTTTCTTCATGCGGTGCAGGGATGCGGGTATAGTCAGCATTAACCAAGTATTGTTGTGTACATGTATATATTGTCTTGTTATATTTTTATATTTTATCAATGCTTGATAATTACTAGAAAAGCCTAGTCGAAACGTTCCTCGGTATTAAGTAGTAACTGTATTCCATAGAATTGTGACCTGGATAATAAAAGAAGTCAGGATTATCAGTGATCTTATTGAGTGGCGTCCATTTGACCGTTAACGGATTATATGGCGCGGGTGGTCTAATCCATTTAATAGCAAAACCGCCTGACGGTCAAGAGAGTTGATGATGTGAATAAATGTCTAAATAATAATTTATATAACATTTGAAGCCATGTTCCTTGCACATTCGAAGACGAGAAAACTGAAACACCTCATACTTATAGCACACTCAGTGGGGATTTCCCGTCTTCGTTAGTCCGTTTAATTCAATGGATCAAACGCAACGTTACCAACTTTAATACGCGCACCTGAACGGATCAAAATAAAACTTATTTCTACAGAATGAACAAGATATGTTACTCGCCATATTGTTTTAACTCGGTGAACACATTATCTCCCTCAATCATCTCTCAATAATCACTACTTCTAACGGTCTAGTGGTTTAACGCGTGTGCATGAAATCACAAGATCTCTCACCGAGTCCGTTGTTTTCTCCGGGATAGATCTAGAATACACGGCTGTTGTTTTCTACAGGATAGATCTAGAATACACGGTTGTTGTTTAATCTAAGATAGATCTAGAATACATTGCAGTTGTTTTCTACAGGATAGATCTAGAATACACTGCACTTGTTTAATCCAGGATAGATTTAGAATACACTGCAGTTGCTTTCTCCAGGATACATCTAGAATACACGGTTGTTGTTTAATCCAGGATACATCTAGAATACACCGCCGTTGCTTTCTGGGGGTTAGATCTGGAATGCAGTGCGGTTATTTTCTACATAATACATCAGTAATATATTCTACAGAAGAGATCAGTAATATATTCTATAGGAGAGATCAGGA